GGAGCACCACTGACTTGGTAGGGGCTATGTCCATACCTCGTTCATTTAAATATTGCTCAATAATGTTGAGTCCAGTTTGAAGTTGTCTTTCCAATGTTTAGACACAACTATCTGAAATCCAAATACAAATATCATCTGCATATATTGTGACGTTAATCGGTCATGGGAGACGACTTGGTATTTCAGTCATGACTGAATTAAATAATGTTGGACTGAGAACACTTCCCTGCAGAACGCCGTGTTTGAGAACGTGTCTTCTGGACTCTCCATGTGTTGTCTGCATAACTATAGTCCTATTTCTAATGAAGTTTTGAATTTATCGTTAAAAACAGCCTCTAACTCCGAGCTTCAGAAGATTGTTTATAACGTGTACATAACGGTGTCGTATGCTCGCTTAATATCTAAAAATATGGCAACTGTAAGTTTTCTAAGCTGACGGCCGTGTTCCACCGAAATGACTAAGTCTAGAATGCAGTCCATTGTGCAACGTTTTGAACGAAACCCGACTAATGAATCCGGAAGGCTTCTGGTAGTTTCAAGTCACCATTGTAAGCGTTGATTAATTATTTTCTCAAAGAGTTTACCAACGCAGCTAGTGAGGCTGACTGACCGGAACGAAGCTAGTTCCATCGGGGTCTTTCCTGGTTTCAGGAGAGCCGTGACTTTGGCTGTCTTCCACTGTTCAGGCACAGCTTCGCCAATCCAGATAGAGTTAAACATTTTGGGAAGATTGCTAGTTGCACTCGGACCGAGATTCGTCAGTATTCCCCATGTTATCAAGTCGGGACCGGGTGACTTCCCTTTGCGAGTTGATTGTAGGGCGTATTGCATTTCTCGAAGCAGTAAAGGGCGGTCCATTTGTGTATCGGAACCATGTAATTGGCCGTCATTGGTTTTTTGGGCTGTTACACACGATGCACGGTACATTAAAGTCTGAGCTGCATTGCTAGAGTTTACCAGTAATTCACAAAATTGGTCTGCGAGTACCAATTCTGATACTCCTTTTGATAACGCCATTGCGCGGAGAGGATACCTCTGTATTACTGGTGAACGGAGTGTTCTGACTATGTTCCATTGCCTTGTGAGATCTCTCACAGCTGTCATCTTGGCACAGAGTTGTCGCCATCGATGCCTGGATAGCAGTTTCAGCTTGCGGCGGATAAGGTCGTGTACGTGCTGAGCATTTCTATATTCCTCTATCATCCCCGACCTTCGATATTTTCTTTCTGCTCTACGACGTATCGCCCTAAGTTTTTCATATGATGCATCTATTCCCGCATACCCTTCGGGGGCAGATATAGATCGAGTTACACGATCAAAATTTGCCTTCACAATCGAATTAAACTGTACTAACGTACCCATATTTTTGCAGTGCGTTGTATTCAGTCGCCGGAAGCTACGCCAGTTTGTGATATTGATTTTCTTTTGTTTCCGGTTTAAAGACTTTGCTTTTGAATACTGTATAAGAATGGGAAGGTGGTCACTCCCGTGCGTTTCAACGTCTATGTGCCAGAACATATCAGAAAAAGTATCTTGTGAGCAAATTGTTAGGTTCAGAACACTTGAATGACTGCATCTTCGAATGAAGTTTGGTGAGCCATCGTTTAACACACATAGATTATTTTTCTCAATTATGGCTTCTATTATTTTACCGCGCTAGTCACATTGCATACCTCCCCATAGTGTATTATGTGCGTTAAAATCGCCACCCATAACGAACGGACTGTTAACAGCATCTAAGATGGACGTGATACATTTTTCGGTAATAGCTATGGCTAGTTCAGTATAAATGCTAATTACGCTCAATAAATTCTCGCCAAACCTGATTTTGCATGCCACATATTCTGGTCCATCAGATGAAGATGTGCATAGAAAAGTCGAATCGTATTGTTTGTTCACACAAATCAGGGCTCGACTTGGACCACGTGGACGTTTGGAACTGTATGAGACATATCCAGCGAGTCTGAATTGGTCATCCGTGTGTCCTTCAGATATTGTAGTAACAGGAAACTTAAATTAGGCGACGAGCTCCCGGGAGTGACTCATTTTTGTGCGAAGGTAATTGGCGTTCCACTGAAATATTGTCGTTCGGCGATATTCTTCATTCATTTATATCGACCTATTCGAAGCCAGTAAAAGAGGCTCGATAGCTAGAAGTGCTTTTACCTTGGAGATGTTCAGTGCATCGGGATGTGATTTGATGATTGCTTTCACTGCCAGAAAGACAAGTTGGAGAAGCAATTGCTGATCGATCTCTTGGTATGGTGGGGTGGCCGATGTGCCTGTACCGCTGATGGCCGTGTGGCAAGTGGTCGACATTTTTGCATGGGAAGTTGAGGGTCTTGAATCTCTGCCGGCGACAGATGCAGTAGGCACCGGTGACCCTGACGGTTGAGATGTTCTCTGTGAAAGTGGTGCAGAGGTCGTTGGATCACACTGAACTGTATCACTTGTGATATTTGCCTGTTTCTTCGACGGTCGTTGCAAAACGTGTATGTCCGGTCTTTCTTAGGCGTTGATGCTTCTCTTTGACTTGGTGTTTCTGGCAGGTGTACAGTCTCTGGATTCGAAGGTGGCAATCTACGATTGTGTGCGCGACCGTTCAGTATTTCCTGTTCAGCGCGGTGGCAGCTTTCTTGCTGGAGCAGCCGGCATATGTTGCTGCATGAGAGCATCCGCAGTTTGCGCAGTTTGGTTCAGAGCGATAGTTGCAGTCCTTGTGGTGGTGTGGACCGGCACAGATCTTGCAACGTCTTCCGCTCCGGCAGTTTTGTGCGATGTGTACAAACCGTTGGCAGTGGTAGCAATGAATTGGGGCGCCAAAGTATTCCTCCACAGGGTGGCTCGTGAAACCTAAATACACACGATTATTGGGGCGCGAACATATTCCTCCACAGGGTGGCTCGTGAAACCTAAATACACACGATTTGGCATCGGACGGTCTTATATAAAACGAAGAATCACGCTGTCCTTGGGGAGAGGCGTTGAGTTACCGTCCTCTTGTCTCCTGTGTGCGACCTGCCTTTGGACGTATGTAACACCTGCATCATCTAAGCACTCCAGGGGATCGTTGTCAGTGTACAGTAGTGGAACTCCTTTAATTTTTCCCCTGTTCTCTGAATATTGACTTCGGCGTGGATTGTTTTACTTCGAATCTCATGAGAGAAGTGGTCACTAGCAATTTATTAGCTGCAGGTAGTGAAGCGACACCCACTTCCTAGACTGCCATCCTTAGTGAATTTGTGGGACAGAATTTTTTCTTGTGCGATCCCAAGCACCTCATTTGCCAGTGAGTTCGGATTTATTTTCCAGAACGAGAACTCCTTGGAGGTCGTATGAAATATAATTGGTATTCCTGACGACCTGTTCTTCTTGTACGTCACCTGGATGAATCCGGTGTCGTCATCTTCAATACTGTCTTCATTCAGCTCGTACGTGGAAGTAGCACCTTCAGATGAAGGGTCGCTCGTTGATGTTTTCATGTGCTTGTGTGATATATTTACCCGTGGTCCTTTGGTTGGAATGTCTTGAGCCTCGGCGTTGTCTGCAGTGACTGTTGTTATTCTGCTTTCAATTAAGGTTCCAGGACCTTTTAAAGAGGTAGATTCGCCTTGCTCTTCCGGGAGGAGTTGAAAGCGGTTCGTAGTTCGCACCTCGTTGGACGGTGGGCTGACATCTTGCGCTGTCAGCCCCCCGCCCGCCGAGGTTCGCTTCTTGCAGCTCAGATTTGTGGTTGGCGCTGCGGCAGAGTACTCCAGAAGGTATCGTTTTCAACGATGCGATGCTGTGTTTTGTTAATGCCTATTTCACGAAAATCAAGGAGTAACAAAACCACGAACGTACCATTCAGCAGCTTCGTCGTCTTCCTTTGAAATGACGTCACATGACCGTTAAGCGTAACCTATGAACAAATTCAGTTTCTCTGCTAGATTTAGCAAGAAAAATTACGTCACGTGTCCTCAACACTAATTCAATTTTCGGTGTTGAGGTGATAGGACGTCAGTTTTACCACTAAATTAAGCGGGGAAACTGAATGTCCAGTGTTGCTTTTTGGGGTGTCAAAGACCTACACACCAATTCAGTTTCTTCGCTAAATTTGGTCGCATATTGCTGTAACGCGGCATAATGCAACGCGGGCGGCGTCGCCGTCGGCGAAGGTGACACCGCGAAACACGGAAGCGAGTACCTAAGAACTGGGCTCTAAAAATCGCTATTCAATTCCATAAATTTTGCACATCCATACTGGACACCCACTTGCAAGTAATATAATATTATTACATTAATTAACAGAAGTAATACGATTTAGGACATCACGGCGCAGTATATATCTTGGTCTGTTACTAAAACTGGATTCACTCTGAAATATTAAAAAAAAAGTTTGTTCTATACTTCGTTTCATCTTCGGTCCGAGCGCGGTCGATGTTATGGGTGGAAGGGCCAATCAAACAGCGAAAGAGGCACAGCGTCATGGCGTGCTCTCTGTAGTTGATAGGACTAGCCGGTATTCGCCGTCTCTCTGTGCGCGCTCCTCCGCCGGCTAGTCCTATCAAACGCAGAGAGCACGCCATGACGCTGCGCTTTTTGCGCTGTTTGATTGGCCCTTCGGCTCATAACATCGGCCGCGCTCGGACCGAAGATGAAACGAAGTATAGAGCGTCAGCTGTACTGGTTTAGTAATATAATTTATTGGGGTTGTGTGAATATTCAGACAGCGTGCAGTTGGTGTTACAAAATGAGCCTACAGATGGCACCACTACCCAAGCAATGCGGTGGCGTACGGGCCTGCCTGCCTCCCCCCCCCCCCCTCCCCCCCCCCCCCCCCCCACGACTCTCCGAGACGAAGAAACCGGCGAGCATGGCGGACGCAGATCCCGTCCACATTGTAACTATTAAGCAAATATTAAACTAGTTACGTTCTATAACACGCCTTTGGAAACATGGTGTCAGAAGCGGCATTAGCCAACGCTTGAGGTACGACCGCCACGACCACGGAAGCAAGCATGGAAACAATCCCGCCGCCGCCGAAGTTTGAAAACGCCAGCAACGCTGCGGAACAATGGCGCACGTTCAAACAAGCCTTCACGCTGTACCTGAAAGCGACCGATGCCGCGGGAGCATCATCGGAAAGGCAACTCGCACTTCTTCTCACGGTAGGAGGACCAAGCCTGCTAAACATTTACAGTACTCTGGACTTCGGAGAGTGAACGCAAGCGAAACCGCACCCTGAATTTGACTTCGACCACGTTGTGAAGCTACTGGATGCGCACTTTCTGCCGAGGAAGAACGAAGTGTACTCACGCTACGTCTTCCGCATGCGAGTACAACTCCCCGACGAGAGGTTCGACACTTTTCTGACCGACCTGAAACTGAAAACCCGCGACTGCCATTTCGGAACAGAAAAGGAGAAGATTATTCGTGACCAAATCGTGTGTGGAGTAAACGACGAGAAAGCACGCGCGGACATACATAAACTCGAGAAACCGACGCTTGAAAAAGTCGTAAAGGTGTGCCTAGCGCACGAGCAGACGAAGCTTCGAATAAAGGTGTTCAGAGAAGGCACCACTGTCGCCGAGGAAGTCCGCACAACGAAAGGTAGCAGCAATCGCCGCCGACTACCACGTGCCGGCCGAGAGAAAGACAGATTGCGGTCAAGCAAACAGTATAGAGCTGTAGATACTGCGGTAGGACTCACATGCGCACAAGACAAGCATGTCCAGCATGGAACCAAACCTGCAACAAGTGCAAGAAGCGGAACCATTTTGCAATGGTATGCAAAAGCGCCAAGACCATCTCCAGTGTGGAGGAGCATGACGACGACGACTCAAGATACTCACGGTGCAGGACGGCAAAGCAAGCTCGTTATTTGCAACCTTGATCGTCAATGAAAGAAAAGTCAATTTCCAAGTGGACAATGGAGCTGTAGTGAGTGTTATCAACCACAAGAGTGTGACGCACAGACCGATCGAGCAAACCTCGACAACCCTGCGCATGTGGAATGGCACGAAAGTCATCCCATCTGGCAAAGCAAGGCTGAAGGTGACTACAGCCAACGGGCAGAAACACGTCGTTGACTTCATTGTGGTCCGTAACAACCTCACACCCTTCATAGGACGGAAGTCAGCTGAACGGGTCGGGCTAATCACGGTTGACTACAACCTGGTTGCCAGCATTGGTAAAGTAAACTCAAGAGACCACATCACGAAGAGGTACCCCGATGTATTTGGAACCTTTGTAGGCTCTCTGCCCGGACCCGTACACCTTGTGACCAAGCCAGCGGCATGTTCCAAAGCAGTAACGAGTTGCCGAATCCCAGTGAATATCAAGCCTCAGCTCGAGACAACTATAAGACGCTTGGAACAAACTGAAATCATCAAGAGTGTTACTGAACCTATATATATGGTGGTATGGCTGAGGCCGCCATGAAGACTGTCAAAATGCTCTTAAAGAAAGCAAGCGAAAACGATGGCGATCCTCAGATGGCATTCCTTGACCATCGTAACACGCCGTTGCAACGCATGCATGCAAGCCCTGCACAGCTCCTCATGGGTCGGCGCACACGCACATGTTTACCAACGACAACAAAGCAGCTGCTGCCAAAAACTGTCAGTGCCAGAGACCAGTTGTAGCAGAAGGAACGAAGGATGGTTTTCTACCACGACAAACGGGCCAAAGACCTTCATCCACTGAGCATGGGACAAGATGTAATGGTCCTCCCAACCAAAGGAAGCATTATGGACAAGAGGAACCATCCAGAAACATTGTGGTGACAGGTCATACAAACTACAGGTCAGTGGCGGCGTGCTACGCCGCAACAGAGTGCACATTCGAGATGCACCCAGTTGCCAACAAGCGGAAGCAGATTCCTCAACTTCTCAAGACGATCGTGAGCTCCACAGAACTCCCCAGGTCAAAAGTTCCCCTCAGCGCGAACCAGACAAGACACGAGCACCTGAGACTTACGAGCCTGACCACCAACTCGCCCCAATCCGTACCCCTACGCGCCTAAAGAGAACAGCAGCTCTACCAAAGAAGTTTCAAGACTTTATTCTGGGGCACGGTGTAAGATACACTCTTTAGGTGAGGACACGGCGGGGCTGAACGCGGGGCGCGAGGAATCAGATAGTGTTCGTTCGACGGGCATCCAAAAGCCTGCATAATTCTGCGGCCACCGTGCCCGCGGCTGACAGTGTCGCCGGTGGCCAAATGGAGAAACTGTGTGAGAGCGAAAAAACTTATCTGGTTGCCATGAAACCCCAGTACACCGTGGTCTTTCTGCAGGAGCGACACCCTCGCTAAAACTCTGCGCGTGAGGAGCATGAGGCGGCACGAGCCGTCTTCGCCGTGCCCACGGGTCGATGAGTCATCTGCCGGCGCCGCTTAAAACCATAATGAGAGATTGATTGATTGATTGATTTGGTGTTTATGGCGCAAAAGCTACTAAGGCCATAGAGCGCCAAAAACGAGACTATTGCTGGAAAAGGTTTGGAGAGAAAAAAAAGGCTTTAGTAGCCAGTGATTAGACAAAAGATGGTAATGGGGTACCAAAACGTAAAAGGGTGATGGGCATGATCTGTATGTTAAGAAAGCTACAATCGGTGTAGAAGGCCGATACTATCTAAAAATTTGAAAACATTAGTATGTGTCACAAGAGAATCATCACTTAAGAGCAGAGCTGGGTGTAGTGGGACTTGTTCTTGATACAGCTGCGAAAAATACAAAAGCCGTTCTTCATGATAAGCAGGACATTCAACTAGAATATGAAGAATGCTTAAGGCATTGTCACACTGCTCACAAGGGGGCCATCTTCCCCACGAAGGAGGTAGCCATGAGTCAGATGAGTGTGACCAATCCTGAGCCGGCAAAGGACAACCTCAAAAAAGCGTTCTTGGTGGCGTGCACTCTGCCATTCGCTCAAAAGAGGTTTGATCATGTGCAACTTGTTGCCGATTTCTTGGTCCCATTCAGCCTGCCATTTGCACTTAACGTGACGCCTGAGAAGGCCTTTGTAGTCTGTATAAGGAATGCTGTGGAGGTCAACTGTTCGTTTTACACAAGTACTTGCTGCGCGATCTGCTGCCTCAATGCCCGGAATGCCCACGTGGCTGGGAATCCAGCAAAATACAATCTCGTATCCCTGTCTTGAGGCAGCAACAACCTTATTTCGCAGTTCAAGGAGCAGGAAGTGCTTGAGGGGTGTTAGTGAAGACAGTGCATGCAATGCACTGAGGGAGTCTGTGTATACGATGGAGCGAGAGAGCTTTTTATCAAGTATGAAGCCTATGGTAAGAAGCAGACCATAGAGCTCCGCTGTAAAAATAGAAGCAGAGGAGTTGATTCGCCTAACAAGCTGAACTGTTGGGCCAATCACGGAACACCCAGCAGCAGATTCCGTCTTTGTACCATCTGTGTAGAAGCTTACATATTCGGAATACTGACATTGCAGTGCTAAGAATTCCTGAAGAAACACACCATTAGGAGTATCAGCTTTCTGGTATCGCGTGAGTGAAAGGTCACACTTAATGACATGGTGCTCCCAAGGTGCTCCCGCAACAGTAGACTGCACTACCGGGGGCTTCCAATCGAGTCCCATGTTCACACTGGCACTTTTCAATCTCAAAGAGAAGGGAGGCACAATTGTGGCTTTGTTTTGAAACACCCTTTCAGAGCGCATGTCTTCCACAGCCATTCGCGCAGGGTGATCAGAGATGGACCTGACTCTCAGGGAATACATAAAGCCCAGAGAAAATCTTCTCTTCTGAAGAGACAGCTCGTTCGCCTCTGCATACAGACTTGGCACAGGAGACGTGCGAAAGGCACCCGTCGCCAATCGCAACCCAAGATGATGAATAGGGTCCAGCATTTTTAGAATGGAAGGCCTAGCTGAACCGTAAACAATACTGCCATAGTCCAGTCGTGATCGCACTATCGAGCGATATATCCTCAAAAGGCACGTCCGGTCAGAACCCCAGGATCGGTGGGACAGGACTTTAAGAATATTAAGTGATTTGTAAGCTTTTAATCTTAGATTCTTAATATGGGTACCAAAGGTTAGTTTGCTGTCAAATGTAAGACCCAGAAACTTGTACTCACGCTTCACAGAAATTGTGGAGTTGTTTAGTGCAAGAACAGGTTCTGGAAGTAGTCCGCGTTTCCGAGAAAAGCACACACAAACTGTTTTATCTAAGGAAAACTTAAACCCATTTTGATTGGCCCAGGTTGATAGCTTATTGATAGTTAGCTGAATTCGTCGCTCACACAGTGACAGATTGCAAGACGACACTGAGATCTGAAGGTCATCTACATAGAGTGAATATTGCACCGATGGGGGGATAGCCAATTCAAGGGAGTTCATTTTGAGAATAAACAAAGTGACACTAAGAACGCCTCCCTGAGGGACGCTATTTTCCTGGACAAACACTTTAGATAAAGCTGTTCCTATCTGAACACGAAAGGTGCGCCTGCTGAGGTAGCTCTCAATGGTGCGAAGCATTCGACTACGGATACCCATATCATACAAGTCCCTCAGTGTACCAAAACGCCAGGCTGTATCGTAGGCTTTTTGGAGGTCAAAAAATACAGATAGGCAATGTTGTCTATGAACGAAGGCCTCACGCACGACTGTCTCCAGCCGTACTAAATGGTCAAGAGTGGACCGAGACGAACGATAGCCGCATTGGTTCACATCTAGATGTCTATTTAGTTTAAGGAAATACATCAATCTTTTATTAATTATTCGTTCAAGAGTCTTTCCAAAGCAGCTAGTCAAAGCGATAGGCCTATAACTAGCTGCACAGGATGGATCCTTACCGGGCTTGAGTATGGGTATGATTGTTGCCAGTCTCCAGTCCAATGGAAAGTAGCCCTCAAACCAAATACGATTAAAAAGGTATAAAAGAATATTAAGTGTGGAAGGATGGAGATGTTGAAGCATATAATAATGAATACCATCTGGACCAGGAGCTGATGACTTAGAGTTTTGGAGCACTATGTTCAGTTCGCGTAAGGTAAAGGGGGCATTATAAGCTTCGCGTTCACCACCAGATGTTATCAGTACCATACTTTCAGCTTTACTTTTATGTTGCAGAAAAGCAGGCGAGTAATGCTGCGAGCTGGAAATGAACTCAAAATGCTCGCCAAGGATGTTGCCCAGCTCTTCAAGATTGCTTGGGCATTTTTCATTTCTGGAAAGAAGTGGAATAGTGAAAGCATGATATGAGCCACTTACTTTATCAATCCTGTCCCATACTTCCTTGGAAGAAGTACTACTATTGATAGAGGACGCATATTTTTGCCAGCTCTCGCGTTTCGCTGTCCGACGAATGTACCTAGCACGTGCTTTCATTTTTCGGAAAGATATCAGGTTGTCCCGAGTTGGATAACGTCTTAGAATACTCCAAGCTTTGTTTTGCTGTTTGCGACTCTCTTTACAGTCTTCATTCCACCATGGCTTCGGTCGTCTAGGGAGCTGTCCAGATGACCGAGGGATTGAGAGTGACGCTGCAGTGAGAATATGAGATGTTAAAAGATGGCTGAGCTCATCAATCGAAAGCTGATCGAGGCGAGATCAGGCCAGGAGTGATCACTGCTTAAAAAGGCTCCAGTCTGCTTTTTCAAACTTCCAGCGTGGATGGCGCGTAGGTGAAGACTGCGGAGTGTTGTTACATTTTAAAATAATGGGGAAGTGGTCACTTCCATGGGGGTTTTGATCAACACTCCATGAAAAATCGGGTAGCAGATTTGCGCTGCCAATAGAAAGATCGATGCATGTAGATGACAAGGATGAAATCGGGTAGCAGATTTGCGCTGCCTATAGAAAGATCGATGCATGTAGATGACAATGATGAAGGACTAAAATATGTAGGATGGCCAGTATTAAAAATGCATAACGACTGTGAAAATAATATGGATTCGATTATCTTTCCGCGTGTATCTGTATGATCACTTCCCCAGAGGGTACTATGTGCGTTAAAATCACCGAGTAAAAGAAAGGGCTCTGGAAGCTGGCTTAAAAGAGAGTCGAGATCTTGTCGCTTCAGAGAAAGGGAAGGTGGAAAATACACTGAACATACAGTTATGGCTTTATGCAACAAGAGACGAACAGCGATAGCTTCGAGTGGCGTCTGAAGCGGAACCTCTCACAATGGAATATGTTTTGGAAGCACCACCGCAACGCCGCCACAAGAAATGGACATGCTAGGGCGGTCTTTACGAAACACACTGTAGCGTCTCAGAAAGTTAGTGTGAGATGTATTTAAGTGTGTTTCCTGCAAGCATAAGGCAGATGCCTTATACTCTTCTAAAAGAAACTCAACACCTGCAAGGTTAGTGAATAAGCCACGGCAGTTCCACTGAAGAATTACAGAGCCCATTTGAAAGGATAAAAGATTTCATAAATGAATTAAAGCAATCCTACATGTACTACA